CCTCCGAGCCCGATATAATTCGAAGGCCATCAGGAGAGAAAGCTACTGTGTGAACAGAGCTGCTATGGCCTCTAAGTGGCTCTCCTATCGCTTCGCCCATTTCCACGTCCCATAATATAATCGTCTCATCTGATGAGCCTGACGCAATTCGCTTCCCATCAGGAGAGAATGCCACCGAGTTGACCCAGTTGGTATGGCCTCGAAGTGGCTCTCCTATCGGATCAGAGGTCGCTACATCCCATACTCGAATCATTTTATCAGTTGAGCCGGATACAACCCGAGAACCATCAGGTGAAAAGGTTACCGAGGTAATCGAGTTAGTATGGCCCTCAAGCGGCTGCCCTATCGTCTGGCCAGTTTCTGTATCCCAAAGTTTGATGGTCTTGTCCACTGAAGCAGAAGCTATTAGACGACCATTGGGAGAAAACACAACCGAGTTGACCCAATTAGTATGACCCCGGAGCGGTTCTCCTGTTGGCTGATTAGTCTCTGCATCCCATAGTCTAACTGTATGATCGCGTGAACAAGATGCGATTTGGGTGCCATCATGAGAAAATGCCACCGAATTTACGGCGTCAGTGTGACCCTGTAATGGCTCCCCAATTGCTTGGCCTGTCTCTGTATCCCATAGCCGGATTGTACCGTCACGGGAGCCAGAAATCATTTGATGACTGGGGGAAAATGCCACTGAGGTAACGAAATCGGTGTGACCTCGAAGGGGTTCTCCTATGCCCTGCCCCGTCTCTGTGTCCCATAACCTGATCGTATTGTCGTAAGAACCGGACGCGATTCGATGTCCGTCTGAAGAAAATGCTACAGAGCTGACACTGCTGGAGTGGCCTTGCCACACCTGTGGTGGTTTAGGCCACGTCTCAGAGCAGCCCCTTACCACCGATAATAGATTTGGGCATAGCTTATGACCCCCTTGACGAAGGAAAGACTCGATAGGAGAAAACGGTAATGCCGAAAGGTAGATATGAGGGATGCTTTCTGATATTGGTGTAGAGA